TTTGCCTCCGAGCTCTTTCCTCTGTTTCCTTTGACTTTCCTCTTGTCCCACTATCATGCTCAGTCTTCATTTGGGTTTCAGTAATTCCTTTTGGTTACATTACCCTTGATCACGCCCTACCAGGCCTCCTACACCCTTCTCACTGCCGATTTCACTTTACTGTTTATGAAGTGCCTATGGTTTTTGAGAGGTGGCTGTCATGATAGTGCCCTGCTGCTGCTTGGGATTGATTTGAGCATCTGTGTGGTGACACGAGCCTTTCGTTCCTCACTTGGAGCCCTGTTTGGCATTTCTCTCTCATGTGAGATTGACATGTGACATAGACCTTAAGTGTTCAGCTCTTGCTGGCAACCCACACATTAGGATTTAGACAGATGAGGATTTGAAGAAAGAAGGTTTAATGATGATCTTAACACACATGAAGGATCCTTGTGTAAAGAATAAGGATCTTCTCTTTTTCAGAACACAAAGGTAAGTAGTAGCAATAAGAATTGAAATAGTGGATGAAGGGAGACGTTGGACAGTGTAAGATATGACAAAATATTACTGACTTGTAAATTATCAAGGGTTCATGAGGGAGGGGGAAGTGGAGAGGGAGGGGAAAAATGAGCTGATGCCAGGAGCTCAGGTGGAAAGCAGGTGTTTTGAGAATGATGATGTCAACAAATGTATAAATGCGCTTGACACAATGGATGCATGTATGGATTGTGATAAGTGTTGTATGAGCCCCCAATGAAATTAAATTAAAAAAAAAGACACTTTATCTGTGGACACTTATCTGTGGAACAACAGATTTGTGGGATCGTTTGCTGTCCCGGGTTCTCCTGATAATCAGAGATTGCTTGCTTAGGTGCAAGGCCCTAAGGTAGAGTCTGAGAATCCAAAGATGTTTCAAGACATAGTTCCTTAGTCCAGGCCACCATCACCTTTTATCTGATTTACTGTAGCCATCTTCTCATTGGTGAGTGTTGGGCTTTTAACTAAAACGTTAGCCGTTCGAAACCATCCGCAGCTCTGCAGTAAAAAGACAAGGCTTTCTAGTCCTGAAAAAGTTTGTAGTCTCGGAAACCTGCAGGGGCAGTTTTACCCTGTCCTCTAGGGTCGCTTTGATTGGAAGTGACTCGATGGCAGTGAGTTTGGAGTTTGCGTTCATCGAAATGATAGGGACTTGATGTAGGACCTTCAAACTTCAGCGTTGTATAAAGAAGCAGGAAAAGTATCTCCCAACATCCTACATCTAGAAAATTGTGTCTAGCAGCTAGTTGGAGTTAGCCAGCTAGAAAACGAACTTCTTGCTTACAATTTCAGAAGTTTCCATTTCTTTTACTTTACAATTATAAAGCCCGAAACTGGCTCCTGTAGCTGATTCCACAGGGAGCCCAGGCTCTGTTTTCACATGCACACAAGAGCTCCCGAATCATTCTGTTCTTCCAAGTCAAGGCACACTTTCTTTTCGGTCTTTTTCTTTCCTCCCTAAATTGTATTAATGTTGTTGTTGCTTCAAATATACCCAGCAAACCTACAACGATTCAACTGTTTCTCCCAGGACACTTTTGACTTCGATTACGTTCTTCGAGAGGTTGCAACTGTTCTCTCCCTCATGTTATGAGTTGTTCCTCCCTCATTAACATCCACTCACTGCTCCTCAGGTTCCTGCCTAATCTGTTTGAGTTGCTGTTGTCTATTTGATCCTATATAGGTAGTTCTTAGGGAGCCCTGGTGGTGTAGCAGTGGTTTCATGTTGGGCTGCAGTCTGCAAGGTCAGCAGTTCGAAATCACTAGCTGCTCCATGGGAGAAAGAAGGGGCCCTCTACTCAGTGAACAGTCGTAGTCTCAGGAACTCACGGGGCAGGTCTCCTCTGTCCATTAGAGTTGCTATGAGTTTCCATTAACTCTATTGGCAGTGCGTTTGGCTTGGTGATTCCTAATGCTCAGGGCAGACCTTCATTTACTTGTTAAGCTAAACTATTGCTCTGTTTTAAAATGACTTAAGGTGTTTCTGGTTTAAGGTTTAAAAATTATCTTCAGTGGTTCATACATCCTCTGTGGCCCCATTAGCTTTGTTTTCTAAGGCTCAAGCTCTGAAACTAAGAATTGATTGTCTTTGCTTACTGTTTGCAATGTAATTACTACTGGACCCTCTCTAACCAACTTTTAAATAGCTGTTTGGCGAGATGAGTTTAACTTCCATTTCTTTGGGCATGCATTCTTCTGTTTATATGTCTAGGAGTAAACTAGAGAGAGAGAGAGAGAGAGAGAGAGAGAGAGACTGTCTTATGGCTAAGGGAGAAATCCTGCTGTGTTTTTCTCTTTCCCTTTCTTCATCCTGCTCCTGGGAGTTTGTGTTGAGCCCTTTCATTGGTGGTCCATCTTCTGCTGCCAAAGAGAAGTGAAAATTGAGTGACGTTTTTGGTCAAGGGAGCAGGCAGGGCTTGGAATGTTTTTTGTTTTGTTTTTCTTTTCTCTCTCCCTGTCACAGAGCCGTTCAGAGCTAGGACTGTGTCGTGACGGGGCTGTGGTTTGGTGGAGGGATCTTGTAGGGGACGCGCGGCCTGGAGGTGGGTGTCTTCAGCCCACATGCTGTACTGCACCTCAGTTTCCTGGCTCTGAGGTCCAGATTCCACAGAAAGGAAACAACCGCCCCGGCTCTGTTTTCACATTCACACCGGGGCTTCTGAAGCCCTTCTTTCTTGCAAGCACATTGCCCTTTATTTCAGTCTGCAAAGACACAAGTCTTCCACCTCGTTGCCTTCTGAAATCAGCAGCTCGTGCTGAATGAGCCTGACGCTAGGTAGACCTGTGTGTCGTGGATGGAGGGGAGGCCGAAGGGAGGGGGCCTCTCTGTGGAAATGTAGTGGTGCTGCCCTAGGTCACTGGCCCACGTCAGCTTTTTCTTGGACTGTTTTCAAGGCCTCTCAACTGGTCTCCCTACTTCTGATCCAGTTTCACTCTGAACTCAAAATTTCATTCCAAAATACCCAGATGTTAATGTCACCCCTCTGTTTCAAACTTTTCAATGATGTGTGGTTACCCTCAGGACACAATCCACATTGATTTGTGTGGTTTGGTGGGCTCTGCGAGTCCTGAGCTGATCTGCCTCCCAGATCTCTTCCTTTCATTGACACCCTTGTGTCCCAGCCTCTCACCATTCCCAAAGTCACCATTTGGGGTCTTTCCTCGTATTTATGATTGTTTCCTACACCCAGATCATCCTTCCTCACCTTTAATACCTGCTGAACACTTCTCCATCCTTTGAGACCCAGCTCAAATGTCACTTCCTACTAGGGTGCCTTGCAGGTTTGCCAGGTGGGGTTTGTTGCTCCTCTCTTTAGATTTAGTGTAGTGTAGTGCTTACCAGTGTGGGCCCTGGAGTCAGACTCCCTGGGTTTCAGTTCCATCCTGGCCCCTTCTTACATGTGTGACTATCAGCAAAATAAATTACCCATCTGCAAAATGGGGACAGTCTTAATGAACCTCATAGATAGTTGTGAGGATTGCAAGAGGCAATAGTTAAAAGTGCTTGGTATAATACCTGGCCATAATCAGCCAAAAATCTGGTGGCGGCTGAATCAACTCTAATTTATGACAACCCCTGTGTGTGTCAGAGCAGCATTGTGTTCCATTGGTTTTCAATGCTTGATTTTTTTTGCAAGTAGAATGCCAGTCCTTTCTTCTGGAAAGGTATCTCTGGATGGACTTCTACCCTCCAGCCAGCTGAGTGTGTTAACTATTTGCAGCACCGGGGCCATCATTCCTATAAAACCAAACTCGCTGCCTTCAAGTCGGTGCTGACTTACAGTGACCCCCTGTGGGTTTCCAACATTGTAGCTGTTTATGGGAGTAGAAAGCCCCATCTTTCTCCCTCGGAGTGACTGATGGTTTTGAACTGCCGACCTTTTGGATTGCAGCCCAATGCATAACCTCTGTGTCACCAGGGCCATCATTAGCGCTCAATAAATGCTACTTTTTGTTGTTGCTGTTATCGTAGTGTGCAGATTTTTTTTTAAACCTTTTAAAAAAATCATTAGGGGCTCATACAACTCTTATCACAATCCATGCATACGTCAATTGTGTAAAGCACATTTGTACATTCATTTCCCTCATCATTCTCAAAACATTTGCTCTCCACGTAAGCCCCTGAAATCAAATGTGCATACTTTTACACTTAAAAAATAATAAACAGCTTTATTGGGTCATAATCCAAATATTATACAATTCAATAGTTCAATCAGATCAAGAAGAGTTGTGCAACCATTACCTCAATCAATTTTAGAACATTTCCCTTTTCTAGTATTCCTTGTTAACAGCTTCCCCATCTCGCTATCCTTTTGCACTTTTGCCACCTGTATTTTGAAATTTTTTTGCATTTCAGTGCCTATTTCAGTCAGGTGCTGTGTCTGGTTTGCTTTGCGTGGCCCTATGTGGAGCAGTCCACAGTAAGCGCTGGTGACCAGAGGTACTACTCAGATTTGCCCCCAAAGTAGAATGGGCATCCGGTTGAGAGAGGGACGCTTCCACTTTGATTTGCAAATGATCACAGGCCCAAAGTTGATATGACCTGAGGGTCGGTTAGCTGATTCAGTCTTTTCAGTGCAAGAAATCCCCGATACTGCCTCCTGGAACACAGACAGTGCTTTTATGTTGCCAACACAACACAAGAGGCCACGTGAAAGCTAAGCACAGTGTAGGTTCCAAGTTCATGGCCATTTTGTTTGTATTTTGAACTTCAGGTGACATGTCTGAGAGTAAAGCCAAGAAGATTGAAATCAAGGACGTGGATGGGCAGACTCTGAGCAAGCTGATTGACTATATCTATACTGCTGAAATTGAGGTGACCGAAGAGAACGTCCAGGTAAACCTAGCCCTAGCCAATAGCTCTGTGTACTGTACAGCCAGTGTCCGCCCCTTTCCACGCATTATTCCCCCCATGCCCCCTCATGACGACAGCTCACTGTGTAACTGAAGAGGGAACCAGGTAACTTGCTTTGAGTCACACGGCCAGTAGGTAGGTGAACTGGCCCTCAAACTGATGCCTGCCTGACCCTGATGCTCATGCGCTTTAACCTCTAGGCAATATCACCTCCAGGTGAGTTTGGGCTTCTAGAGGAGAAAGTCTTTAACTCACGCCAGGGCAACATTTTGGTGAGGGGAAGAATGAGAAGCCCGAGTAGCCCAGGTTCTCTCCTCCTTGTTTCTTATCTCAAGTATTTTGAGTATTGGATTGTGTGGTTCTATACTTTGTTCCTGTTCTAACACAGTGCACCAAAGGCCTCTGAGCACCTGCAGGTGCCAAGCACCAGGACTGAGCCTCAGTAGGGCTCAGGTGGTGAAATGTACTGTCTGGACCCTTGTCCTCCTTTGCTCCTTTTGCTGCCCCGCCTTCACCTTCAGAACTCTGGAGCCATGAGAGGAGAAGGAGAGGGCAGCAAAGAAAGACTTCCCCCAGAGGGTGCATCTGCCCCGTGAGACCATCAGGTGTCAGCATCATCTGCAGGGGAGAGGACGAGGCTGTGGTCCTCTCTTGAGCCCCACATATCACTGGGCAAAACCAGACAAAAGATACATGACATCATATTCTTAAGGATCCCACTATTTAATTAGAGTTACATAAATTAATGTAAAACAATTTAAGCCCACTATTGCCTTAGTTGGTTATTGTGTGGTAGGTACCTCTCTAGTGACCAACCTATATTTCCCTGATCTAGATCACGACTCCTGTTCTCTACCACTCATCTGTCACTCTGACGTACTGTGGTGACTTGCATGCTATGATGCTAGAAGCTATGCCAACAGTATGTTAAGTGTCGACAGGGTCACCCATAGTGGACAGGTTTCAGCAGAACTTCCCGACTAAGAAAAGACTAGGAAGAAGTAGCCTGTCCACTTCTGAGGGATTAGTGGCCGAGAACCATACACACAGCAGCACAACATCGTCAGATCCAGTGCCAGAAGATGAGCCCCTCAGTTGGAAGGCCCATCAGATCCCATCAGGGAAGGGACTGCCTTCTCAAAGCAGGTTAACCTTGAGGCTGTGGAGAGAGAAGAGCTTCCGGGCTCTTATTTGCTTATGGGGCAGGACTCAAAATGAGCAGAAACACTGTAAACATCCATTAGTCATTGTTAGGAGCAATGTATGAAATTTGAATTTAGGAAACTTCGAAGCTGTCAAAAATGAAATACAATGTATAAAGATCGATTTCCTGCTGAAATGGGTTGGTATTGGCCATTGTGGGTCAAGTGATCACGTAGTTCACTATGCTAAAAACGGCAATTGAAGAGAGATGCTTTCGTGTTCAGAAAGAATATTTCAAGACCTAGCTTGAAGTACAGTGCCGCCTGTGGCAGGTTCCTCTCCGTCCACCTACAAGGAAGTCCAGTTAATACACCTATTATTCAAGTGTACACAGAAGCCTTTGATGACAGTGCTGAAGATGAAGGAATTCTGCCACCTTCTTCTGGCTGAGATTGATCAAACATGCAATCAAGATGCATTGATAATTATTGTCACTTCCAACAAAAGTTGGAAACAGGAAGGGTCAGTAGTTGGAAAACATGGCTTCAGTAAGAGAAATAAGCTGGAGATCACATATTAGAAGTTTGCAAGACCAACGACTTCTTCATCGCAGATACTTTTTCTAACAGTGTAAAGGGCTAATATACACGTGGAACACACAAGAACCGAATCGACTATAAGAGCCCATGAAAAAGTGTAGTATCACCAGCCAAAACAAGGCTGGGGCAACTGTGAAGTAGACAGATGGCTAATATATAAGTTCAGATCGAGCTGAAGTTGAAAATAAAAGTAGTCCATGAGAACCAAATATGACTTTGACTGTATCTATTTGAATTTTAGAGAACATTTCAATAACAAATTTGATGCATTGAACAGGAGTTACAGAAGATCTGATGAGTGGAATGACAATAAGAATATCTTACATGACGAGCTAGTCAGGGTGCAGTGTAGCACCAAGGAAACATTCAACTTTCTTCTAGTTCTTTAATGCTTCCTTCCCTCAACTCTTATGATCCCAATTCTACCTTACAAATCGAGCTAGACCAGAGGATGAACACAGATCAGAGCTGGAAACACAGGGAATCCAGGACAGATAAACCCCTCAGGACCAATAATGACAGTAGAGATAACTGGAGGGTAAGGGTAAGGTGGGGGAGAAAGGGGGAAGTGATCACAATGATCTACATATAACCCCCTCCCTGGGGGATGGACAACAGGAAAGTGGGTGAAGGGAGACATTGGACAGTGTAAGGACAAAATAGTAATGATTTATAAATTATCAAGGGTTGGTGAGGGGGGAGGGAGGGGAAAAATGAGGAGCTGGTACCAAGGGCTCAAGGAGAAAGCAAATGTTCTGAGAATGGCAATGGCAACCAATGTAAACATGTGGTTGACACAATGGATGGATGGATGGATTGTGTTGAGTTGTACGAGCCCCCAGTAAAATGCTTTAAAAATATATATGAAGAAAGTTTAAGGTCGTTAGAAAGACAAAGAAAAGACCAAAGTGGATATCAGAAGGGACCCTGAAACTTGCCCTTGAATGTAGAGAGTCTAAAGTGAAGGGAAGATATGATAAATTAAGAGAACTGAACAGAAAACTTCAAAGCGCAGCCTGAGAAGAAAAGTCAAGTATTTTAATGAAATGTACAAATAATTGAATTTAGAGAAAAATTCCAGCCTTGAATTGGCAAAATATTAAATGATTCAGAACCATTAAAAGAAGGAAAGAATACACAGTCACTGTACCCCCCCCTCCCCCTCAAATGTGGTCAATGTTCCATCAGTTCAAGAAGTCGCCTATGATCCAGAGTCCGTGGTATTAAGGAAGAGGTCCAAGCTCCCCTGAAGGCATTAAGCTAAGGCACAAAGCCCTTGGAATGGACAGAACACCACTGGAATGCCTTAACAAGTTGTGGAAGCCCTGGAAGCACGCATTTATCTACACCAGGAGATTTGGAACAGAGCTACCTGGACGCCCTGCTAAAAGTGATCCTTATTTATGTCCATTCTGAAGAAAGGTCACCCTGCAGAGTATGGAAATTATTGAACCATGTCATTAATGACTGCTGCATTACCTCAGCAGGAAGCTGCCAGAAAGGCAAGCTGGATTTAGAAGGGAATGTGGCAGGAAGGGTCTCATTGCCAAAGTACGCTGAATCATGACTAAAAGCAGTGACTCCCCAAACCAAAAAGATGTGTGCGTGGTTCCCATTGACTAAGCAAAGGCAATGAACTGTGTGGTTATAACAAGCTGTGGATCGTATTGCAAAGAATAGGGATTCCGGAATACTTCATTGGAAACTACACAGCCAAGACCATATGAAGGAATAAATACTATGTGGTTTAAAATCAGGAAAGATGTGTGTCAGGATGATATCCTTTCACCATTCTTATTCTATGTGCTGAGCAGATAGTGTGTGAACCAGGATTATATGCAGAACAAGGCGACAGGATTGGAGGAAAGATTATTAACATTCTGCAATATACAGATAATATAGCCTTGTTGAAAATGGGGACGACTTGAAGCACTTGCTAATGAAAATTAAAAAACTGCAGTCTTTAGTATGGATTTTAACTCAATGTGAAGAAAGCAAAATTTGTCCCACCTGGACAAGTAGATAACCTGGTCATAAACAGAGACAAGATGAGAGTTCTCCTGCCAAGGATTTTGTCTTACTTGGATTGGCAATCAGTGTTCATAGAGCAGCAGCCAGGAAATCAAGTGAAATCTGGCTTTGGGCAAATTTGCTGCATAAGACCTCTTCAAAATTTTCCTGAGCGAGGTTGTTCCTTTGAAGACTAAAGTGTGCCTGACCCAAGTTACAGTATTTTCAGTTGCTTCATATGCACGTAGAAGTTGGACAGTGAATAAGGAAGACCAGAGAAGAGTCTGCTTTTGAATTATGGTAAAGCCAAGGAATATTGAAAATACCCCCGGCTCCCTGAAGAACAAACAAATCTTAGGGAAGCACCGCTAGACTGTTGCTTAGAAGTGGGGTTGATGAGACTTTGTCTCACATCCTTTGGACATGTTTTCAGGAGAGACCAGTCCCGGGAAAAAGATATTCTGCTTGGGAAAGTCGAAAGGCCGTGCGAAAGAGGAGGGCTGGCAAGAAGATGGATTGACACAGTGGCTGCAACATTGGGCTCAAACTTAACAACAGTTGGAGGCGGTGCAGGAGCAGGCCGTGTTACGTTCTGCTGTTCACGGGGTCTCGATGAGTTGGAACCAACTGGAGGGGGTACCTAACAACAATTTCCTTGTTCCAGGTCAAGGTGTTTGGGAGGCTGAATGAATGGGTAACAGTTCATTCAGTTCAGCCAAGATGTTTAAACACCTCTCATTGTGGTTGGTTGGAGCCGTGAGTTGTGGAGATTCTGTTGCCTACCCTCGTGGAGCTTATAGTCTCATTATGAAGTCTGCTGTTTTGCCAAATACACCAATATTGTCTATGTATAAATTGTGACAAGTCCAATGGAGGAAAAGAACAGTATACAAGAGAGGTAATTTCAGGGGAACTCAATTTTGGGGGAAGGGGAGGGTCTGTTAAGAGCCTTTCAGGAGATGACTGTCAGTTAGCTTGGTGTGGTGAGTGGTACTCTTGAGGGGTTAGGCTGTAGACAAGTGTGGGGAACAGTGCATTTGGGTCGGCAGAGTCCACCCACAATAGACTACAAAACCAAACCCACTGCCAATGAGTCGATTCCGTCGCATAGCAACCCTAAATCCGGTATCTGAGTCTGTAAATCTTTATACAGGAACTGACAGCTTCATGTTTTTCCTCTGGAGTGGCTGCTGGGTTTTTGAACTGCTGACCTTGTAATTAGCAGCCCCA